ATGGGATTGGGGGGACGAGGGAAGGATGGGAAGGGATGGGAAGGGGAAACAAAGGAGAAGGCTACAATGCTTGATAAGAAATGTACTCATTATCTTGCCCATGTAATTGTAGTGCCTCTGTATTTTCACAATAAAAAAAAAAACAAAAAAAAACAAAAAACAGCCTGGACAGGAAAGTCTGTGAGACTCTTATCTCCAATAAACCACCAGAAAACTGGAAGTAGCGCTGTGGCTCAAGTGGTAGAGCATTTGCCTTGAGCTGAAGAGCAGAGGGACAGCACCCAGGTCCAGAGTTCAAGCATGAGTGTCATAAAAAAAAAATCAAGAATTAAGCTGGACACTGGTAATCCTAGCTACTCAGGAGACTGAGATCTGAGGATCTAAGTTGGAAGCCAGCCTGAGCAGGACTCTTATCTCTAACCATCAAAACACTAGAAGTAGAGCTCAAGTGGTAGAACACTAGCCTTGAGCACAAAAACTCAGGGACAGTGTCCAGGCCCTGAGTTCAAGCCCCAATACCAGCACAAATGCACCCCCCCCCACACACACACACTTGAGGGACTGGGAAGGTGGCTCAGTGGTAGAGCGCATGCCTGGCATGCCAGAGGCCCTGGGTTCGATTCCTCAGCACCACATAAGCAAAAAGAAAAAAGCCGGAAGTGGCGCTGTGGCTCAAGTGGTAGAGCGTTAGCCTTGAGCTGAAGAGCTGAGGGACAGCACCCAGGCCCAGAGTTCAGGCCCCATGACCGGACCCAAAAAAACAAACAAACACACACACACTTGAGAATCCAGAGTTCCACTCTTACCATGACCCAGACATGAAGGGAGATGCTGAGGGCGAGGTACACAGTCGTCAGGATGATGGTCCCTTTGAACTTATGGAATAGGAGGTTGACCAGGCCAGCCTGGAAGACGAAGGTGTTGAAGAACATGAGGAAAATGATGATGATGTTGAAGAGGATTGCAATGTCTTGAATGCTGTGGACATATAAAACAAAGTACAGCCAAACAGATGCCCATGTGAGAATCCACGAGCTGGCTCTTAAGTCCTGAGGGACACTATTGCCTTTGCCTGTGATATAGTCACCCCAAGTCTCCACAAGCAGCAGGGCTATGACCCAAATGACAAATAACTAATACCACCCATTGATTTGTAGCCCAAACACTAGGCTTTTTTTTTTTTTTTTTTTAATGTGTCTGTGTGCCAATCTTAGGGCTTGAACACAGGGCCTGGACACTATCCTTGTGTTTTTGTGCTCAAGGATAGCATTCTAGCACTTAAACCTCATATCCATTTCCAGCTTTTTGGTAATTTACTTACAGACTTTTCTGCCTGGGCTGGCTTTAAATTGCAACTCTTAGATCTCCTAAGTAACTAGGATTATAGGTGTGAGTCACTGGCACCTGGCCTTTCTCTTTAAAAGAAATGTAACTATAACCTCTCTGTACAGCATCTTTACAATAAAATAAAATTAAAATTCCATCCGTGGGGATGGAACCCAAGGTCTTATGGATGCTAGGCAAGTGCTCTACCATTGAGCTACACCCCTTCCCCTTTACTAGTAACTTTCAAATGATAAGCCATGATGGGTAGGGCCTTCAAATTATGTGGGTTTAGCTTTCTAGGCCCACCTGAGAACTCACATGAAGAGCACCAGCTGGACGACAGCTGCCATTCTGAGTAGCTCTGAGAAGGAATTGACGAAGAGATCATAGCACAGCAACAGGAACTGCAGGGAGAGCACCAGGCTGTAGTTACTCGTCTGCAGCATCTTCCTCCGGCTTTTTTGGGCTCCCAAGGGCACATTCCACAGTTTCCCAGAAAATAGCTCCTGGTTCTTTTCCTAGCACTGAGGGAAAGGTGTCATTTGCTTCCAACTCAGAGTGATTTCCTTTGCTTTGAGATCAGTACCTGTGGGGTCAAAATGAGGCAAAGTTAGAAATCCACTAAGGAACATTTATTGAAGCCGGGTGCCAGCGGCTCCTAGCTATTCAGGAGACTGAGATCTAAGGATCCTAGTTTGAAGCCAGCCCAGGCAGACATGATATTCTTATCTCCAATTAACCAGCAAAAAGCCAGAAGTGGAAGTGGAGCTGTGGCTCAAGTAGGAGAGCACCAGCCTTGAGTGAAAAATAAGGGACAGTGCCTAGATCCTGGGTTCAAGCCCTAGTATCAGCACCAAAAAAATAATCCACATTTGCAATCCTAGCATTCAGGAGGCTGAGGTAGAGGATTTCAAGTTCAAGGCCAACCTGGGCTATACAGAGTTTCAGATCAATCTAGGATCTACGGTGTTTCTGTTTCCAAAAATCAAACAAAAACAAACCCCCCAAAACTCAACTTGTCATTTCTTCTAGGGACCATCACCCATAAACCTTTCTCTATACCTGGACTCAAATTCTAAATGTACTAAGAGAATCTATAGAAAAGGGTGGACACCCATTCATGTGGTAGTAATAATAATTACAGCAGCAAACTCATATATTAGTTGCAGTGTGACAGAGACTGTTAGACACTGATATTAAAGCTTGAAATAACCTCATGAGGTAAAAGGCACATTCTTACTTTTCCCTTTTTACAGATGAGAAAACTGAGGCTTGGAGAGGTAAAATAAGTTGTCTAAGGTCTTATTGGTAGTAAGTAGCTGAGCTGGGATTTTGATCCTGGCAGCCTGGATCAGGAATCTATCTTAATTATTGGCCTACACTGCTCTTCCATAACCCATAGACTGATAAGTAGATGGGGAAAATGCCCATGCAAAAGTGGGATAAGAGGGGCTGGGAAGGTGGCTCAGTGGTAGAGCGCTTGCCTTGCATGCATGAGGCCCTGGGTTCGATTCCTCGGCACCACATAAGCAAAAAGAAAAAAACCAGAAGTGGTGCTGCGGCTCAAGTGGTAGAGAGCTAGCCTTGAGCTGAAGAGCTGAGGGACAGCGCCCAGGCCCAGAGTACAGGCCCCACGACCGACCCGACTCAAAAAACAAAAACAAAAAAGTGGGATAAGAGAGGACACAATGCTCTTCTGAAAGTCTTTAAAGTTACTTTAGCAAAGGGTTGCATACATTTTTCAAGGCTCACTAATTACTCTGGAGTGTCCTATGACCCTGAAGCAAGATCTAATTCATAAACAACTATCAAACAGCTCTGAAGTGCTCCAGCAATTAAACTATTATCTATAAAATGTTTTACAATTGTGTGTGTGTGTGTGTGTGTGTGTGTGTGTGTGTGTGTGTCTGTGTCCATTCTGAGGCTGAAAGTTAGATCCTGGTTCTGGCTCTGAGCTTTTGTGCTCAAGGCTAGTGCTCTACCATGTACAGCTTTTTGGTGGCTAATTAGAGATAAGAATCTTATGAACTAGATTCGAATTGTGATTCTCAGATCTCAACCTCCTGAGTAGTTAAGATTACAAGCATGAGCCTGTAGAACCCGGCGCCTGGCTACAAATTTATTAACCCTCCATGCTCATTAATTGATGCTAGGGCTATGACAATAAGTAGACATTTTAATACATATAATTCCTCTTTTGCATAAAGGCACGGAGAAGTTAAAGCCCTAGGTCCACTTCACTTGATGGACAAGTCCCACCTTGCTGGGTTTATCATTGTGGCTTCTCTCGACCTGAGTTTCCTCCCTCATAAACAACAATCATAGTTTATCCCTTCCGGTCCCCAAGACCAGGATAAGCTTGGTACCCAAGACAACCACCTTTAATCCTCGCAACGAGGTAGGAAGAGAATTATCCCGAGTCGAGGCAAGGCCACCGGGTCAGGCAGAGTTGAAGGCATCCCCGCTAAGTGGCAAGTGAGCGGCGCCGGGATCCCTGGCTCAGTCCCCCCACGCCGCAGGTCCGCACCGGTCGGTGGCGGCCGGGATCCCTGGCTCAGTCCCCCCACGCCGCAGGTCCGCACCGGTCGGTGGCGGCCGGGATCCCTGGCTCAGTCCCCCCACGCCGCAGGTCCGCACCGGTCGGTGGCGGCGGGGTGCGGCCGGGATCCCTGGCTCAGTCCCCCCACGCCGCAGGTCCGCACCGGTCGGTGGCGGCGGGGGGCGGCCGGGATCCCTGGCTCAGTCCCCCCACGCCGCAGGTCCGCACCGGTCGGTGGCGGCCGGGATCCCTGGCTCAGTCCCCCCACGCCGCAGGTCCGCACCGGTCGGTGGCGGCGGGGTGCGGCCGGGATCCCTGGCTCAGTCCCCCCACGCCGCAGGTCCGCACCGGTCGGTGGCGGCGGGGGGCGGCCGGGATCCCTGGCTCAGTCCCCCCACGCCGCAGGTCCGCACCGGTCGGTGGCGGCCGGGATCCCTGGCTCAGTCCCCCCACGCCGCAGGTCCGCACCGGTCGGTGGCGGCGGGGGGCGGCCGGGATCCCTGGCTCAGTCCCCCCACGCCGCAGGTCCGCACCGGTCGGTGGCGGCCGGGATCCCTGGCTCAGTCCCCCCACGCCGCAGGTCCGCACCGGTCGGTGGCGGCGGGGGGCGGCCGGGATCCGCCACACGCCCGCCCGCAGCGCTCCCTACCTGGACCGTCTCCGCCTCCGGTGACCGACGAGGAAAAGCAGCGCGCTTCACTGTCCGCTACCTGCCGCCTGCCCTTGCCTCACCCTTCCCGACTCGCTTAAAATGGTGCTGTCTTGGCAGGAAACAACAACAACAACAAGCTCAAGCCAAAAGCAACAGCATCAGAAATTCTGCCTTCGCGTCAACACCACCACTTCTCAAACCCCTCACCCTAAGGAACCACGTCGGTTGTCATGGAGATATCGTCCAGGCTTCCGGAAGCCCGCTTTAAATCCCGGAAGTAGATGGCGGAGGCTCCCTCCCTGCTTCTCCCGCCAGCCTCGCCGCCATGTTTGGGTCGTGTTTTCTTGGGCCCGCCCGGCTCAACCTGACCTTTCCGGGACGCGGGATGGTGAAGGACAGAGCACCCACGTCTTAGCGCTCTCGGGCCCTGACCTTAGGCTTACGGAGGGAGCGCCAGCAGCAAACGAACCGGGGTCGGAGACCGATACCCTGGCGCATTACCAGCGGCCACGTCCAAGCCCCTGGACTACATTTCCCAAGAGGCCGTGCGCGCGCCACCGGAGGTGTTGCCGGGCTATAAAAGCCGGGGTGGCGTTGTCGGAGGGTGGCAGCTAGCTGAATGTAGGTTCCCGGGATTCTACGTGCTTCTTGTAAGAGACCCCGGAGTGGCCCGCCTCTCGTCGCCCGGCGCCGGAGACTTCAGTCCCCTGTGTCCCACTGTGGTTAGGGGTGAGAAAGAACCCGGGCGGGGAGGTCAGGAAGCCAGGCTTCCAGTGCTATTACTACCTCGCTTTGCGCTGTGCCGATCTCGCTCAACCTCAGTTTTCTCCGTCAGGAGCCTGTTCTCAGCGCCCTTCTTCCACAGTTGGTGGATGGAAGGCACAGAGTTTGGGAAGGCGCTTGTTTTTTAAACCCCCGATTATCTGGGACCACGCGCCCAGCAGGGGGGTCAAGGGATGTGTCCCTGGGTGCCTGGGTACCTGACACCGCCGGAGGAGGGATCTGGCATCTCTCGTAGGTGAGGGAGGCCGTTTTTACTTCTTGGGCTGGGAAGATTGAGCCACTCACTCCTGAGTCGGGCCATTGCTGAAGCTATCTTTGGAAATAAGGAGTCCTGGGAACTGAGGAGGAGTGGACCTGGATACCTGTAACCAGCTCTGCCACTTGCGTTGGCCGAGTGACTCTCCTTTGGGCCCCAGTGTTAGAGTGGTTTTGATCTGTAAGGTAAGGGTTAAGACCTGAACCCTAAGTCTGATTCTTAGTATCCCAAAAATTTATCATACATCCATGAAGGGTAGCAGCAAATTGATTTTTCATCCCTTTATCTGTTTGAACTTCTAAGTTGTAAGAGGACTGAGAAGAATTTGGAATAGAGAGCCTTTTTCGAAGACTAAGAGCTGAATAGGAAATACCCATTTCTTATCCTGGGACTGATGCTAGTTTAGCTCAGCCTAGGAGAATCCTTTTTTGTTGTTAAGGAATTGAGGAAAGTATTAAATAAGATCAACATGACCAACTATTCCCTGCAGGCCACATGTGACTCACCAGAAAATGAGAGGGAAAATGAAAAGGCTATGTGGCATGTAAAAATGTTGGCTTTCAGAGGGCTAGGAAGGTGGCTCAGTGGTAGTGCCTTGCGTGCCTGAGGCCCTGGGTTCGATTCCTCAGCACCACATACGCAAAAAGAAAAAAAAAAGGCCAGCTGTGGCTCAAGTGGTAGAGCGTTAGCCTTGAGCTGAAGAGCTCAGGGACAGTGCCCAGGCCCAGAGTTCAGGCCCCACGACAGGACCAAAAAAAAAAAAAAATGTTGGCTTTCAGAGTCCATAAATAAAGTATTGTTGGAACACACTTATGCTTATTTGTTACAATACCTTCCCTGGCTGCTCTTGCACAAGTACATCAGCAGGGTTGATGACATTGTTGGGACAGATAAAATGGGGCTCTGCAGAGTGAGGGCAGAAGAGGAAACTGAAGTCCTAGCACAACCTACTCTCTTAGAACAGAGGAGAGCATATTCTCAGCATCTGCATGGAATTTTTACTGTGTTCTTCCTTTCTCCTAGATTTTGCTATTTTGGGAAGAGGAAGGGAGGGCTTGTCTGTACTGTGGACAAAGTAATGTGACTTCCTGCTCTCTGTCTCAAAAATCTCATCATCTGGTCTAAGCGTGCTGCATCTTACTATTCCACAACTTCTTAGGGGTTTGGATACAATCCCTTTTAGATGATAGTATGTCTTTCTACAAATGTCAAAGAAATTGTAGAAATAGATAATTTGAGTTAAGTGGAGCCTCTTAATGACCAAGAGCTTCTTAATGCTGACTTAACACTTCACTGGGGAGTGGAGGATATGTTAGCCAAACACCTGGTGATTGGAACTTTCTTTGCCCTTGCAGGAGACAACTCTGAGGTGGGAGGCGGGCTAACAAATCTCTAAGCTCAGCTAAGTCATGAAGCTGGTTACATGACTTTCTCCTTCCAGCCTTCCTCACTGAAGCTTGTTTTCTTCTCCCTTAATACATAGCCCTTCCTTGCTCCAAGATTTTAGATCACCTTGTAAGAACCAAATGCTGGTCTGTTAGATATCTGGCTTAGGGAGAGCTGGCATGGACTTCAGCTCACAGCTAGGGCTCTACCACATGAGCCACAGCACCACTTCCTCTTTTCTGGTGGTATTTTGGAGATGAGTCTCACGGACTTTCCTGCCTGGGCTGGCTTTGAACTGCAATCCTCAGATCTCTGCCTCCTGAGTAGCTAGGATTACAGGTGTGAGCCCCAGCACCCAGCTTTTTTTTTTTTTTTTTTTTTTTTAAGACAAAAATTTCACTGTGTTAGTCTGGCTGACTGTGAATTCCTAGATCAAGCAATCCTCTTTCCTCAGGCTTCCAAATAGCTGGCACTATAGGTGTGTGTCACCAGGCCCAGGTAGCTTTCAGTTTTCCCTAGCAGTTAGGATAAAATATATGGCAGCATAAGAAAGAAGAGTTGCTGCTTTCATGGTATCCTTACATAGCATTTTTTTTCCTCTTGATATGACAACCTGTGGTCAAGGAAAAAGTGCAGTTTTCAGGCCTCAAATCCAAACAGGCAAAAGGTTAGAAAATCCTCTGCATTAAATGAAGCTGATATTAGTTTCTTAATCATTCTGAGCCTTTGTCTCCTCATGTATATGATGAGGGATAGTGAGAATAAAACCCCTCACAAGGTTGTCAAAAGGAGTAACAGGATGGTATAGAAGGTTCCAGTGCTCATAGCTGATCTTCAAAATCTGTGTCTTTCTTTCAGATGAGAACAAGTCCTGCAGCTGTTATACCCAGTTTGTGAGAATCAGAGCCCAGGCCACCTTTCTGTGATCTGGGTCTAAAGGTGAGGAATTAGGTATTGTCCCATGGGAGTTACCACCCATTTCTTCTGGTAGCTGGTTCAGAGGAAGGGACTTGATCATTTCAGGAAGTCATATTGTCCTCTTGCTGTGAGCCCATAGGACAGGGTAACTGCCTTGAGGTGTGGGCCCATACCGTCCCACGTTGACTGGAAGCAGGGTCAGTCTTGTGCCTCCCCTACCCACCCGCCTGCCACCCTTGCCACCTGCTCTGGGAATCTTTTTTTTTTTTTTTTGGGGGGGGGGTCCCGGTCATGGGGCCTGAACTCTGGGCCTGGGCGCTGTCCCTCAGCTCTTCAGCTCAAGGCTAGCACTCTACCACTTGAGCCACAGTGCCATTTCCGGCTTTTTTCTTTTTGCTTATGTGGTGCTGAAGAATCGAACCCAGGACCTCAGGCATGCAAGGCAAGCGCTTTACCACTGAGCCACCTTCCCAGCCCCATGCTCTGGGAATCTTAACCCATGACCTGCACATAGGAAGAAAGCTGCCTATTACCAGGCCCACTCCCCACCCCACAGGCCTGGCTTGAGTATGTAAGCGATCACTAGGCCTGAAACCAGAATTGGTTTCTGGGTTTCTCATGGAAATCTCAAAATAAACCTCTTACTCTCTAGATCTTGAGTTCTTGCTTCCTCTTTTCTCCTCTGGACTTTCCCCTCAGAGAAAAGAAGCAGAAGTCTCAGGCTTGGAGACCACTGAGCTGTGTCACTCCCTTCAAGGAATCGAGTGTGTGGCTTCTGCTAATGGGCTTTGGCCCAATGGAGTTCATCCTCTTAGAGGAAAAAGACTTGTCTGTAGAGATGGTGTCCCATAGGACTTCTCCCCAGAGAGTCTGACAATGCAGGTAGAGCATCCCTTACCAACAATCTCATGCTCTGAAATTTGAAACATCAATTACCAGCATGATGCTCAAAACATACAGGATACAAATCTACATTCCACAATTCTCTGGAACAATTCTGCCTGCTTACTCCTTTCTGATGGTGGTTTTTGCCATTCTTGTGCTAGAACCCAGGGACCTGGGCGGTTATGATGTAGCCTACATTTTTGTTCTTTTCTTTCTTGGATCAGGGTTAGGGAGTTTTTTTTTACCTTCTGGTTCTGTGCAGGGAAATGAATCCCAGTGTTCCAGGCTTGGGCCTTGTCATCCAGTCACAGCCCCACCCTTGCTGCTCACTGCCAGTTGCTGGGCTGGGGCCTTACTCATTTCAAACCCCGTACCCCCCCCCCCCCCATGTGCCACTGAGGCCTCTTGGGAGTGTGCACAGGCTGCTGGCACGAAACAGAAACAAGAAAATTCTGTCTCAGGGGCCAAGAGGGAGATCAGTACTACTTCCTTTAGCCATCATAGCTTGCACCCCCAGCCAGTGGTGACCTATGACTTCTGACTCTTGTAGGAGTTTTGATCAGAATGGCTTTGGGATGCTTTTACCTGTCCTGCCTGGTGCTGGGCTCCCTGGGCTCCATGTGCATCCTCTTCACCACCTATTGGATGCAGTACTGGCGTGGTGGCTTTGCCTGGGATGGCAGCTTGCACATGTTCAACTGGCATCCTGTGCTCATGGTGTCTGGCCTGGTGGTGCTCTACGGAGCTGGTGAGTGAGAAGTGTGCAGGGCATGGCAGGGCCTGGGTCTGGCGGGCAGCACTTGCCCTCTCCTTGCCAGTGTTGGGTTGAGGGCTAATGGGCTTGGGAGAGTTGGGATGGCCCGAAGCTCAGCTGTCATTGGGGATGAAATGGGAAGAGTAGAGATCTCAGATCTGTATTGATTTCAGAAGGGCAACTTCACAGATCCTCTGGGGGCAAGGTCAGCCAACTTTCTGTGAGGGCACTGTCCTTGAACTCTTCAGCTCAAGCCAAGCGCTCTACCACTTGAGCCACAGTGCCACTTACAATTTTCTGGTGATTAGTTGAAGAGTCTCATGGGGCTGGGCGCCAGTGGCTCACACCTGTAATCCTACATAGGAGGCTGAGATCTGAGGATCTCGGGCAGGAAAGTCATGAGACTCTTACCTCCAATAAATCACTCAGGAAACTGGAAGTGGCGCTGTGGCTCAAGTGGTAGAGCACTTGCCTTGAGCTGAAGAGCTGAGGGACAGCGTTCAGGCCAGAGTTCAAGCCCCATGACCGACCAAAAAAAAAAAAAAAAAAGAGCCTCATGGGGAATTTCCTGCCTGGGCTGGCTTTGAATCACAATCCTCAGATCTCAGCCTCCTGAGTAACTAGGATTACAGGTGTGAGCCACTGGTGCCTGGCTGCCATTGTACTTGAGAGCAGCCACAGAAAATACATCAAAACATGAATGTGGCTGTATTTATTCCAATAAAACCTTGTTTATGAAAATAGGTGGTGGGCTGGATTTGGCTTGGGAGTTATAGCGAAGAAGAGCCTGTTATGATATAGTCAATTCCCCGCAAGAGAGGGGCTTTCTTGTTCTTCCAGGATCCACCTTTGCCTCAGGCTTGTGAAAGGGCAGTGAGTCTCATTTTCTCCTCCAGTAAAATGGGAATAATAATAACATTGGTGATAGCTTACCATGTGCACCCTTCATTTGTATGTGTGGTGTGTGGTGCTGGGGTATGCTGAGAAAGTACTCTCCCCCTGAGTTGTATCTCTAGGCCTTTGTGCCATTTTTTTGGGGGGGGGATCAGTTGTGGGGCTTGAACTTGGGGCCTGGCCATTGTCCCTGAGTCTTTTTGCTCAAGGTCAGCATTCTACTACTTTGAGCCACAGCTCCATTTCTGGTTTTGGAGATAAAAGTCTCATAGATTTTCCTGCCCAGGCTGACTTCAAACCATAATCCTCAAATCTAAGTCTCCTGAGTAGGTAGGACTATAGGCATGAGACACCAGCACCTGGCTGTGCCCAAATTCTTGGCAACCTTGGCTGTGAGAACTCAGTTTGATGGAACTTTGGGTGAGACAATGCTTCCTGTCTTCACACAGCATTTATGATTGCAATGACAATACGACAGGCTCAGGACATGTCTCCTTTCCCTATAGTTTGCCCTTCTCTCCTGACTGGTCCCTCGCAAATAGTAGGGTGGAAGATGCCAAGAAGTTGGTTCCTTCTTAGCATTTCCTTCTCCCTTCATTGGAATGCTGTGTGGGGTCACATCAGGGTGTTCTGATTTGGGGATGGGGTGGGCAAGAGGGGATGTGGCTGAGCCTCAAAACTACCCTCCCCTACAGCATCACTGGTGTACCGCCTACCTGCATCCTGGGTGGGGCCCAAGCTGCCCTGGAAGCTCCTCCATGCAGCCCTGCACCTGATGGCCTTCATCCTCACCGTGGTGGGGCTGGTTGCTGTCTTCCAGTTTCACAGCCATTCAAAAATCGCCCATCTCTACTCCCTGCACAGCTGGCTGGGCCTCACCACTGTTGTCCTCTTCGCCTGCCAGGTGGGTGTCCTCTGCCCTCTTCTGGGTTCCTGCTGCCAGATCTAGCACCCCAAGCTGTAGACAGGGTTACATTGCTTCAGCTCCAAATATTCATTGTATTTGAAAGCCCATTTATTACAGCCCCATGGCTTGTCAAGGGCCTTGCACACGTGTCCTATAGATTCAGCCACTGACATAGCCATCGGAGGTTGGAGTACCACATTTGCCCTCTTTCTTTCTTCCTTCCTTCCTTCCTTCCTTTCTTCCTTTCTTTCTTTTTTGGTCAGTTGTGGAGCCTGAACTATGGGCTTGGCCGCTGTCCCTGCTGTCTTCAGCTCAAGGCCAGCACTCTACCACTTGAGCCACAGTGCCACTTCCGGCTTTCTAGTGGTTTATTGGAGATAAGAGTCTCACGGACAGCTGGGCGCTGGTGGCTCACACCTGTAATCCTAGCTACTCAGGAGGCTGAGATCTGAGGATCGCGGTTCAAAGCCAGCCCGGGCAGGAGAGACCGTGAGACTCCTATCTCCAGTAAACCACCAGAAAACCAGAAGTGGCACTGTAGCTCAAGTGGTAGAGCGCTCACCTTGAGCTGAAGAGCTGAGGGACAGCGCCCAGGCCCAGAGTTCAAGCCCCACAACCAACAACAACAAAAAAAAAGTCTCACGGACTTTTCTGCCTGGTCCGGTTTTGAACTTTGATCCTCAGATCTCAGCTTCCTGAGTAGCTAGGATTATAGGTGTGAGCCACCGGCGCCCGGCATTGCCCCATTTCTTATACCATCATACTGCCCAGCTGTCACCCAGAGCTCTGGAAGACTTTCTCATAGCCTGTACCATGCTACTCTGACCTGCCACCTTGTTTCCACTTTCCCCATTAACCCCTTTCTATGAAATAGGAGAATTCTAGGCGCTGGGAAGGTGGCTCAGTGGTAGAGTGCTTGCCTTGCATGCATGAGGCCCTAGGTTCGATTCCTCAGTACCACATAAGCAGAAAAAGCTGGAAGTGGGGCTGAGGCATGAAGTGGTAGAGCGCTGGTCTACAGCTAAAGAGCTGGAGGATAGTGCCCAGGCCCAGAGTTCAGGCCCCACAACAGACAAAAAAAAAAAAAAAGAATTCTACAAATGGTTTCTCACATTAGTCCTGTACTAGAGAGATTCTGAGTGAGGACGGGAAGCAAGAGACAAGTGGATGGCTGGGTTGCTGGTAGGTGGGATTATAGCTAAGACCTTCATGTACTGTTCTCATTTCTTGTGTAATAGCAATGGACAGACCACAGTGAGGGTCAGCTGCAGTGGGGCAACCTCTGGTGGGAGTGCTGCAGTTGGGACAGAAAGGGCCAGCATGAGACAGGAGGTACTGGTGGGGCAGTGACCTGGCCCACCTTTGGTCACCGTCCAGGGCTTCCTCTCTTATGTCCACAGTGGTTCCTGGGCTTTGCTGTCTTCCTCCTTCCCTGGGCGTCGTTGTGGCTGCGCAGCTTCCTGAAACCCATCCATGTCTTCTTTGGAGCCTCCATCCTCTCTCTGTCCATTGCATCTGTCATTTCCGGCATTAACGAGAAGCTTTTCTTCAGTTTGTGAGTGCATTGGCATCTCTAATTCTGAGGCAGGTGGGGGTGCTGCAGTATGTTCTTCAGAAGGTGCAGCCTATGGATCTTTGTTGTGCCATTTGGCACAAGTTACAATTACAGCTTCTGTTTCCTTGTGAGTAAAAAGTATCAAGGCAGCCCCTGCCTGTTACTGCAGCAGAGGCTTGGGAAGTATGCTAAGATTCCAGGTGCCCAGTGGTTCCAGGAAGATTTTTTTTCTCCTTTTTAAGATAGTAAGAAGTGATTAGCAGAGCAAAAGTATACTTTGAATGGGCAAGGTGGGCACTTGGATAAGGACTGTGTGGGAGCTATGGGAATTCAGGGTTTTATCTAATGGAAGGGGGTGGGGAGTGGATGAGATGCAGCTGTTCTTAGTGGCATTGAGTCTACCACTGGACAGAAACAGGTGAAAAGCTTCTCAAGGGCCCACATTGTTGTTTCTGTTATGTTCAGGAAGAACGTCACTCGGCCATATTCCAGCCTGCCCAGCGAGGCTGTCTTCGCTAACACCACTGGGCTGCTGGTGGTGGCCTTTGGGCTTCTGGTTCTCTATGTTCTTCTGGCTTCGTCATGGAAACGTCCCGAGCCGGGGATCCTGACTGACAGACAGGTATGGCTGAGTGTCACCCATTCCAGCGTGGGGCAGGCCAGATCTAGAGGAAGACTACCCAAGAAAGACTTGAGCCTTGCCAAGAAGACTGATCATGTAGTCTGATGGGAAAGCAAACAGCTTGATGGTGAAATTAGGGGGGCCTGCAGAGACACTGGTATGAGTGACTCATCCCAGAAAATGGAGCAAATAGGGCTCCTTGAACTTTCCTTCCCAATTTTCATGAGAGAACACAAAGCTTCCCCTTCGCCAAGAAAGGACTTGAGCAGAGTGAGGGGTGTGGTACTTCTGCACTGCCAGCTTTGGTGTGGGACTAGTGCTTGGTGACTACTTGAGAGCAGGTTGTGCCTGTCCTTAGCCACTTAGACATCTCTTAGATGTAAGGAGATGGGAGTGTGTGCCAGCCTCTGGGACGTTGGGGCTTCCTTGACCAATCTGGTTGGTGGCTTGGCAGGAGATCACCTGCAGGATGGGGATCTATCTGGGCAGCTCAGGCCTGGTGTGGCTCCTGCAGGTCAGGAGGCATTTTGACATCATGTCTTAACCTCTATGCGTCTGCCTTCTTTCAGCCCCTGTTGCATAATGGGGAGTGAAGCAGGAAGGGGCTACGGGAAGTCAGCGGTGCAGTCTGTCCTCCCCAGAAACGGCTGTACTTGGGCTCCTCCTGGCCTCAACTTCTCCTTACCTCGGTGGCAGCCTGCTCTCTCCAGCCACTTCCTGCCCACCTGCAGTTCCTGGTGGCTTTGGCTTCTCCGCATTGACTTATCGGATCCTGCATTTGTTGAGGATCTTCCTTGCCCTGGTCACTCATGTGGGGTCTGCTTGGTCTGCAGGGGTTGGGCTAATCTCCCCTAAGAGTCTTAGTGGGGACGTGGGAGAAAAATCCTGACAGCTCAGAAAAGCTCCCTCGAGTGCAGTCCATGCTTTAACACGTGGTAAGAGGGAGACAACTTTCCCCTTGGAGGAGCGCATTGCATTTCCTCTGCACTGTCCCTCTGCCTGCCTCTTGCCTAGGTGTGCAGGTGGGCAGAGGACTCAAGGTAACTCACTGAAGGGAGTTGGCAGTGGAGCAGAGAAGCCGAGGGCCAAGTGTTCTGAGATGGTATGTGTGTGACTGTGTGGCTCTACCTCTTCTAGCTGCTCCTTCAGCTGCGGCCTGGATCCTGCCCTCTCCCCGTGACTTACATGCCTGTTGCTGTCAGGCAGCCATGGTAACTTGCTCTCCAAGAATAATCTGCCCCTTGAGTCCCAAGAGATGAGTAGCAGTGGTTTCTGAGGCCTTCCTTTCTTACCTCTTGCTGTGTGTGGGTCTTCCTGCCAGCCCCTGGCCAGGTCCAACCTATCTTCCCTCTCCAGTCTACCATGAAAGCCAAGGTCATTGTTGCAAAGCATTGTTCCCAGCAGCCCTGGGAGTTGCTTCCACCTTCAGAGACTTTTCTTGCTGAGAAGTAGGCTGCTTTGCCTGCACTATGACAGCTGCTTGGCTGGCCAAACCCTGCTTCCCCGGCTGTTGCAGAACACGAGCTTTGCTCTTCTCCCAGGGAGAAACTTGGGAGAAACTTCTTGCTTCTCGATTCTTTCCTAAGTGCTGCCTTGTGGCTCTTCCTGCCTTCTCCAAATAAGCACTGCCAGGTCCCTGATTCCAGGCTTCTGTGCTTAGCAGATAGCTGGGACGTAATCTAGGGTTTAGAGATGAGCACTCCCTGGCAGATAGTGACCCAGCTAAATGCACCAGCTCCAGCTGGCAGAGTGTAGCAAGAGGACTGGGCCGGACTTCCTGATTCATTCAGTTGAATGACTGACACGTCTGTGACCAGTGCCCCTTGTTAACATGTGAGTGGGCATTTCACTTGATTTTCATTAAACATGTTTTTAAGAATCAGAGTTGACTTGGTCTGTTTGGGTTAGATGGCTTCAACCATAAACCTTTATTTCCCATAGCTCTAGAGCCTCCAAGTCTAGGATCCAGGTATGAGCAGATGTGTCTGATGAGGACAACTTCCTCAGACTGTCTCCTGTCACCTCCCATGGTGCAGAGTACCAGGCACACACTTGGGCCTCTCCTAAATGAGGCTACTGGTTTCATGTGTCAGTGCTAATCACTCTTGTCTAAGCATCTCCCAAAGGCCGCACCTTCTAATACCATCAATGTTGGGGTTAGAGATTTCAGCACAAAATTTTAGTAGGACACAAAGCAGAACAAAAGCCTGGGATGAAATGACAGTGGTTAACTGAGTGCTGGGGCCACTTGTAAAAGCAAAGTAGCGGGTACTGTAAGAATGCACAATTGTCTTCATGGAACTGCAGGTGATTCATGTATGGGGGGTGTCCTTAATGGTTATTGACTTTGGGGGCATTTGCTCATCTCATGGGGAAAGAAATGTTTTTATAATCTAGACAAAATTCAAAAAGGACAAGTGACTGGCTTTAGGTCACCCAGCCAGTTTGGATCTCTGGCCACTCTGAAGCCCGTCTGCTTCCCAGTTTTGGACACATATCCCTGAGCACAGTGACAACTATGTTTATCATCAGAGACCCGTGGTGAAGTTGATGGACAAGAAACTGTGGGAAGAGCCTGGTGCCACTGTCTCATGCCCATAATCCTAGCTACTCAGGAGACTGAGATCTGAAGATAACACTTTGAAGTCAGCCTAGGCAGGAAAAGTCTATGATTTGTATTACTAGTTAAACAGCAAAAAGCAAGGAATGGAGCTGTGGCTCAAGTGGTAGAGCACCAGCCTTGAGTAAAAAAGGGACAGCATCCAGGTTCCTTCTGAGTTCAAGCCTCAGTTTGGGCACTAAAAAGTAAAAGAGTAATAATAAATCCTAGGCAGAGAAGCCCACAGAGCCCACAGCCAAATTTGGACAAAAGAGGTGGTGAGGGTAACTTTCCAAATGTGACCAGCTATGATTCATGTGGTGGTGGTCACCCACAAGAGGAAAAGATGCTGACACCAGTGATGGGCAGTCTGACCAATGGTCCTTACCTTGGTCAGCTTATCTGAACCCTTTCCTATGCCTGAGAGATGGTTATCAAGCTGACTGACAGATCTCAGGAGGCTACATAGGGGCCTGAACTCTTGTAGCTGGTTTAAAGAAACACCAGATTCCAAGTGATGGCCAGTGCCTTGAGCTGTTTCTGTGCTGAGGACATGACAGGTGTGTCCTGGGTGTTTCTACTAGGCAGCCCCTCCTGTTTGCCCAGGGCTGTCAGTGATTTCTAGAAAGAGACCTGGGGGCTTACGTGGCTGGTTCTAATCTAAGCTGTCTTGAAAGGTGGGGATTTCTTTTCCTTCTGGTGCTGAGCAGCTTTTCTAGCATTCCCACATGTACCTGATAGCGTGTAAGTCTGGAAAGATAGGGACAGGGCTTCAGTGAACCAACCTCGCTGAGCAGAGCCTGCCTCGGACCCAGGTGAGGAGCTACCTGGTAGGATTGGGTCTTGATCCCCAGAGCCAGGGCAAAGGTTTCCACAGAGCAGCAGCAATTTTATGGCTTCAATACATTTTATTAGCTTTCCTTCCATGCTCACTTGGGTTGAGGTATAGAAGGCCTTGCAGAGAGAGAGGGTTGGAGTCTTCAGGGGAAATGTCTTATCACTGATGCCCAGTGCTGGCTGGAGCTGGGTGGGACCTATAACTCTACCCTCCCTGAGGAAAGAGAAGACAGTGCTGGGAGGCAAGTGGCCCAGGCCAGTCCAGTGCTGCCTGTGGGAACCAGTTCTGAACTTTTGAGGATTTCCTGCTGGACTCAAAGGATAGGCCCAGGGACAAGAGAGGGAGAGAGGGGGAAGGTGACCATTGGAAGGCAGAGGAGCTGATAACAGACACCTTTGCACATCATTGAGAGAGGGCTGAGACTGAGGGAGGCAATCATGCTGCCCGATTCTGTAAGACCTCCAGGATGGCTCGGAGAATAGCAGCGGCAGCCACTGCCCCAGGGTCTGGCTGGTCCAGCTTTGCTGAGGTGATATAACTGGCTCTCCCAGCTCCAGCTTCCATGTTCTTAGTAGCCTCCGCTGCTGCTTCTGCACTCTGAGGTAATATAGGCAGTCTCAAAGACAGGCCACCAGGCTGCATGCAACGTGGTCTGAACTTGAACCCCCTTTCCTCACCCTGCAAGCACTCCTTTGTACCATCACTGAGTGGAAAATCACCTCTCAGCTGCTTGTAGCAGGGAAAGAGACATTTACTGAGGTGCTGCTATGTCTCAGCACGCTGCTGCGCTCAAGGTGTTTCCTGAGCTGCATGACCTCTGCTCAGACAAGCACTTACATCTATTTTATAGACAAAAGGGAGGTGCAGGAAGACCATTAACTTGCTCATGGTTACATGGAGATGGGAGCCTGCTGGCTCTAAGCTATCTGCCTGGGTGGCCAGGCTATCCCTACTCACCTTGACTGCTTTGGTCAGAACTGGGAGGAGATCAGCCCCTGGGCTCTTCCAAGCTTGGAGCTCCTGTCCTGCTGCCCATAGAGAATCCAGCTAGACAGGGTGAGGGAAAGAGTGGTTGAGGAGAGGCCCTGCCTCTGAGAGTGGCCTTCAAGTGATTGCAGGCTCAAAAGGAGAAAGGGACAGCCACAGCCTGAATACACACCATAGTTCTGTCCCCTGGTGCAGCCTTTCCATACCTGGCAGAGGAAGACAGTAAACAAGGCTCAGTGTAAGGGGTGACTCTACATGTGGGAACAGATGAGATCCACCAGCCACCTCTCTCAGCACACCCCCATCTAAGGCTCAGGGCTCTGGCTTACTTCTGCATGGCCTCCAGGCCGGCATCCATGGCAGCTGACCAAGCTGGGAGGTCAGTCTTGGTCTTGAGGGGCTGAGCAGCTGCGGTCAGGAACAGGCCATAGAGCTGAGAGGCAGAGGGCCAGAAAACTGCGCTTGTACAAGTAGCTGGCCTGGGCTTCAGCCAAACTGACAGTCGCCCTGTCAGCCCTTCCTCCCTGGAGGCTATTGGCACTTACCGCGCCCGATGAGCCTCCCATCTTCTCTAGCAGCAAAACAGACAACTTGGAGAGGAGCTGGGCAGGGCTGGCAGGAGGAGGGCACTCCTTTAGCCATCCTTGGATAGCTATAGGTAGAGAACAATAGCAGACATCAAAGGTATTCTTCTTCATTTCCACTAACATCCTATGTGATTTACTGATCAATCGTATTCACTAAGGCAGTGATTCCCGCTTGTTTTGCTCACTCTGTAACCACAGAGACGAATGTCTGGCTTAGATGGTCAGTAAATACATTTGTCTTGAATGAACAGCTCTGGACAATTAAGAGCTTTTCATTGGGATGGGCCAGCTGAGAAAAATGATGACTGATCATAAATTATAGTCCACGGGGGAAGATTCTATTTTCTTCTCAGATCTCTCTCACATGTAGTGTGAAAAGCACATGTCTTTTAGCTAACTGGTGAAAGGGTTCTGTGATTGATCTCACTTAGCAAAGGAAGAGGGCATGACCCTATAGCAACACCCTAAATATTGTGGAAATTATTCCATGAAATTCCCAAATCTAAAACTGTGTTTCATCCTAGCCCCTCCTGGAACTCCAGGGGTCCAGACACCAACCTTTGGCAGCTCGACTATGGGTGGTGCCACAGTCCCCATCACCGGCAGCCCGGTCCAGGGCATTCAGGTGTTCCTCCAGGCCCAGGAGGGTGGTACACACTCGCTCCAACACAAGCTCCATCTGCTTTGAGGCTACACCTAGAAAAGCAGGATGTGGGCAGGGGTCTTCCTGTCCCTTCTCACAGCTGCACTCGACTGGTGTGATAGGTGTATGGATGCCAAAGCTCCCAGATACTCCATGGCTCACTTCCATACCCAATGGAGGTCAAGCCAAAGCTCTAATCCACTGAGGATTTCCTGCCCCTCCCACAATACCAGGACCTGGTACCTCTTGCCCCAGTGGAATCAGGGGCCTCCTGGGGCTCAATGGGGGCTGCCCGGCTCCTCTTCCGCCCCGTCACGGAGATCTTGGCCACATTAGGCCAGGCTGCTGCATTGGTTTCAGCATCTAGACATAGGTGTCACAGATACTCTCTCAGACATGGCTGGCTAGCCAGGGACCAAGAGGACCCTGGGCTCCCCACCTGACCCTGGGAAGGGAGTTCACCTCAACAAGTAGGACCCAATTATCTACTGCATGAAAGGGATTGTGGGGAGTGTCCCCAGGGAAGGATCTGGAAGATGTAAGAAGGGTCCTTCAGTCAAGAGAAGGCTGGAGATGGGCTAAGGAAGCCAGAAGGGGCATCATCTCAGGTCAAGAACCTGGTTGTCATGGTCAGGCCTGATGGGGCCTGTGACAAGGAGCCTTGTGGTGTGGATGACTCAGGTCTCACCTATCAGTTTCAGGAGGGGCTCATCCACCAGCAGGAGTGTGAGAGAAACACCAGGCATCTCCAGTGCTGACATGAAGGTGCCCACCAGGGCCCGGGCTACCTTTACCCCACGGCCCTCTGTAATGTCAAGCATGGGAGTCTGTGGAAGAGGGATGGACACTCTTCCCCAACCCCTATCCCAGAGCATCCCATGCAAACAGAATAATAGAAGCACAGGGCCCTGGAGGCTGAGGCTGAGGTCAGTAGGGAGATGGTCTGATTCCTTTAGTAAATCCTTCAGTGCTAGCTCAAATCACCACATTCCCTGGAGGGGTCCCCTCTTGAGGGACAGGTAAGTAATTATAAGTTTCAGATGTCTTGTGTATATTTAATCTCATTGAATCCCAACCACCTGATAAAGTAGGAACTATAATTACTCTCAATATAGACAACAAAACAGCAATTAAGTGGCAAAAGCAGTGATTTAACTCAAGCCTGTGTGAGTGCACAGAACATGTTCTGATCCATCATGAGACCCTACCTTAGCTGCCTTTTTTTTTT